TCTCGCAGTTTTACCACCTGGATAGCTTCTGTTCCTGTCTTGCTAAGTGCTCTAAGTCTTGTCTCCTGTGTGTGTGCAGGCAATGCAGGTTCCTTCAGTTCTTCTCCTGCCCCGACCTTAGCAGGTGCACTTAGATCAGACCACGGCAAGACGGCTGCTGTACTTCCAGACAGCAGGAACAAACGACGAAGGAAATGCCAACTGTATGTCCCATTAACCAAGCCAACAGCCTTGCAGAAAACTTCTGCTTCAGGCTCATGGGCCACACAGTGTAGTACGACCATCTCTAGCTTGTTTGCAGTGGAGGTTGGAGAAGTATTTAACTGCCCATCTTGGGCAGTCACAGTGGCCAAGGAAGAGGGGGCTGGTTGTTCTCCAGCCACAAGCACAGTGAGTGATTAACCATTCTTGGGGAGCAGAAACTGCGTCATGGGACCCTTCCCAGCAGTGCTGTGCCGTCTTCAGACAACAGCCACTCGCCTCCTGCACCAGCACCCACAGCTCAAATCATCCAAAAACCACCAGGAGAGGTCTAAGGGCACAGGTATTTTAATGCCATTGGTAATTCTGTGAGAAAGAGGAGGCCTCCCCTTCCATCTTAGTCTTGCATTAAGATATTTGAGAGCAAGTTAAATGCTCTTGGCTCAAGAATGAGGTTGTACAACTTGGGCCAGGTTTGATTTCTGTCTGTGGTGTAACAGCTGATGACAAGATCAATACACGCTTCTAGGTCTGAGGTTATTTTGACTTGCATTTCCAATTAGGGAAAATGGACCTTGCAGAGTATTTTAGATTAAAGTGCCTAGACCTGCACTTTATCTTAAAAAAAAAAAAAAAAAAATTGGTGTCAGTTCTGGAGGTACACTCAGTGGGATGACAAAATAGAAATTTTGAGAAAGAGAGATTATTGCTCCCTTTATGTTCAAGGAATAGACTTTGGGGACCATCTGCCCAATTAATTAGCTGAGGTTAAGTGTTTTTGCAAGGACCAAAGCCTGCAATCCAGGGTAGGCTTCAGGGCATTCTGGAACCAGAATTCATCGCAGAAGCAGCCTTCTTGGGCTTCGGAAGCTAATTGGATGTTGTGTCATCCCTGGAAGGACTCTGTATTCAGTTTGGCACGGAGTGGATGTTAACGCCACCGATCTAGGAACTGCGCTTTACCCAGACAGCTACATGACCGCTTTTTTTGAAGTCTTGTCATAAGCCACCTTTTCTGTGTGTATGCCTAGAAACCTTTTAATAAAAACATTTATAATTGAAGTATGAAATACACACAGAACAGAAGACAAATGGTGCATGTTTAGTCTGGTGAATTTTCATGATCTGGACATAATGCATATAACCTGCACCCACATCAAGAAACAAAACATGGGGCTGGCATTGTGGCGTAGTGGGTTAAGCCGCCACTTACAATGCCAGCAGCCCTTATGGGTGCCGGTTTGTGTCCTAGCTGCTCCATTTCCAGTCCGGTTCCCTACTAATGTGCCTGGGAAAGCAATGGAGGATGGTCAAAGTCCTCAGGTCCCTGCACCTATGTGGGAAACCCGGATGAATCTCCTGGCTCTTGGCTTCGGCCTGACCCAGCCCAGCCCTAGCTGTTGCAGCCATCGGGGGAGTGCACCAGCAGGTGGAAGACCTCTCTCTCTGACTCCCCCCATCCATCTGGAATGCTGTCTTTCAAACACATAAAATAAAGTCTAAAAAAAAAAGAACAAAACATGACTGGCATCTCCAAAGCCACCCTCTTTGTGCTCCTTCCTTCCCGTCAACATTTCCCCCTCCAAGGGTGACTCAACCTTTCTATCAGTAAAGATGTAACTCACTTGCTTGCAAAATTTAAATCAATAGACTCGGCTGGTGCCGTGGCTCACTAGGCTAATCCTCCGCCCGCGGCACCGGCACCCTGGGTTCTAGTCCCGGTCGGGGCGCTAGATTCTGTGCCGGTTGCTCCTCTTTCAGTCCAGCTCTCTGCTGTGGCCCGGGAGTGCAGTGGAGGATGGCCCAAGTGCTTGGGCCCTGCACCCCATGGGAGACCAGGAGAAGCACCTGGCTACTGGCTTTGGATCGGCGCAGTGCACCGGCTGTAGCAGCCATTTGGGGAGTGAACCAACAGAAGGAAGACCTTTTTCTCTGTCTCTCTCTCACTGTCTATAACTCTACCTGTTAAATAAAAAAAAAATAGTCCATTGTATGAATAACCACCATCACTTTACCCATTCTTCTGTTAATGGTTGTTTGGGCAGTGGTACGTTTTTGGCTGCCATATGTAGTATAGTCTTGTCCGTGATTTTTGATGAATTCCTGGATTCATTCCCGTCAGATGAAATCGCTGTGTCATGGACTACGCGTATGCTCAGCTTCAATAGTTGCAAGCTGGTTGTGCCCCGGAATCAACAGATGCTGTATGCCCCTGGAGCTCAGGGCCGGGGCTTCCTCTGAAAGTAGTAGGGTCTCTGGCTTCCGCCGGGAAAAAAAAAGAACTTCTGAAAAAAGCATGAGTTCAGCATACCTTCTAACAAGCTCCTATTAAGAGTCTATGTTGCTGGTTTTCCTAGATTTTGATATTTCTGGATGTTTCCTGGAGATTCTCATTTAATGAGCCCTTGACTGCTCATGTGCGGGCAGTCAGGTGCATGCGCGTACCAGGCCCTGCGGGCTGCGGAGCCCCCTTAACTCCACCAGACTTCACCGGGAGACGGCGAGTCTCTTACAGATGATTGAACCCGTGATGAGAAGTGGTGCTGTGGCGCCTGCTCATCTCGCTGCCGTCCACCGTGGCTTCCCACTAACTCTGACACCTGTCTTTAGCACTCTTGAAGCTACTGCGAGTGGAGAGATGCATTGTCTGAGTCTTCTCTCAGCCTGCTGTTCTCTGCCACCAGACACAGTGTGGAAAGGTTGTAGCTTCGGGACTGCTCAAAAATCTACAACGTGGCATCTGGGGAAAGCCCGGCGAGGGAGCAAGTGTGACCGAAGTGAGACCTGCTGGTGCAGCTCAGGCCTGGGTGGGGGTGGGGGTGGGGAGCTGTCCCGAGCACACAGCATCCCCTCTGCACCCTGTGCATTGAATTAATGCTTTGAATGACTTTCACGCCAAGGTCCTAGGCCCTGGGCATGCAGAGATGGGAAGACTATGATGACCGCCCTGGAGGAGTTCATGGTGTACTGGAGAAGGCATGCAGTTAAGCAAAAATTGCCCCCCAATGCTGAGGTGCTCTAACAAATATGGCGCAGAGGGGGCCCCAAGAAGGGGTCCGTCCTTCTGAGGGTGTGGTGAAGAGCAATCTAAAGAGGCTACGTTTTACAAACCACCAGTGGACGGCGTGGGAGCCAGGTGTGAAGAGAATGAGACCAGAGACCTGGCAGCCACAGGCGAGGACGCAGGAGGGGCCGAGGCGGGGGCTGGCTCATTCCTGCCGAGGTCCCCACCTGTTTCCCGTCAGCATGATTCTGGAAGGCAATGGCAGCCCTGGCGAGAGGCTGTGGTCGGGTGGGCGGCGGATCATGGTGGGGTACAGCCGCCCACCCGCCCTGCATAACGCTGGACACTCCCAGGACGCTTGCCCCCGACGGCTGCCCCACACCCCAGGACGGCTCTCCCAAGCTCCTGCAGGCTGGGACATGCAGCCTATTTGTCCCGTGAATGCCCGTGCTCCCAGGGCGGGGGCCCTTCCTACCCTGCGCCGGAGGGAGACACGCCTGCAGTAAGAACTTTCACACTTCCAGGGAGGAAAGCTCAGGCCTTCAGGGAACGCGAAAGGGATTCGGTGCTCGCTGGCAGGAGAGGCGGCGGCGGGGGAAGTGCTGAAGAATTTCCAGGGGAAGCTGCACACCGGCCATGCGCGCTAAGAGGGTTCAGGCAGGGCCGTGTGGATTCCACCCAGGGGACCAGAGAGTGGTGCCCTTCCTTGCTCTGTCCGGGACGCAAAGGACGGAGCTGGGATCTCTGGGTCCTTTCCTGAGCTCCGCATGAAGCTGGCGTGGGTCGTCTAAGAGTCTCCGGGTTCCTGACGCTGCAGAGCTACCCCTGACAGCCCCATCCACGGGCAGACTTGTCAGCCCCGCAGCTGTGAGCCACCTCCGGATCCTTCCGATTAATCACGCACAGCCTCGCCCTCCTCTGCTTTCCTTCTCTTCCCTCCTGCGTGACGTCAGTCAGAATGAGTTTCTGTGGCTGCAGCAGAATCTTGGCCGGTACAGAAACTGCTTTCCAGGAATTAGCTGTAAGCAGCAGCAGGGCCTCGGGGCATTTGGAATTGCTCTGGGCCCAGATGGAATGGGTAAATGTATGGAGAAGGGGCGGCTTAGCCAGGCGCAGCCAGGTGCCTCTTGTGCTCCCCAGAGAGTGCAGGTGCGCCAGCAGGGCGCTGCTGCTGCCCACCACAGAGAGGATGCCACGTGGGGGCATCTGAGGCCCCAGCAGGTGATCTGGCCCAAAGTCAGACATCACAGATCTCTTCTTCCTCAGAGTTTGCGGCTGATACTCCAGAGAAAGCTCGCAGGATGCCATCTACTGGTCTGGGAATGGCAACCTCCTCCACCAGGGCGTAAGTGCCCCGGGCTGGAGGCGATGCGATGGGGCTGAGGACTCTGCTTCGCCAGACTCCTCTGAAGTACTCCCCCAGCCCTCCCTTGCCCACAGAAGCTGTGCTGGTTGGGGTCCGTGCTGTGGCACAGTGGGCTAAGCCTCCACCTGTGGCGCCAGCATCCTGTATGGACACCGATTTGAGTCCCGCTGCTCCACTTCCGATCCAGCTCTCTGCTATGGCCTGGGAAAGCAGTAGAAGATGGCCCAAGTCCTTGGGCCCCTGCACCCACGTGGGAGACCTGGAAGAAACTCCTGGTTCCTGGCTTTGGATTGGCCCAGCTCCAGCCATTGCAGCTGCCTGGGGAGTGAACCAGCATATGCAAGACCACTTTCTGTGTGTCTGTGTTCTCTAAATAAACAAGATTTTGGGCTCCACCTGGCCTGGAGTTGAGATGAATAATCCAAGCACATTCCCCTTTGGCTACCACATTTTCTCTAACTGATAGATTTTAGTGGCTATGCTTATGGGATAATAGATGAAACTTGCCGTGACCTGAGAGGGAGGGGGTTTTGGTCCCTTCCTTTTGTATGAACTGGCTGAACAGAAAAAGCAAAAGAATAATCAGTGCACAGAAGTAACAGTTAGGGCTGCCTGGATGTGATTGCAGGCCTATTGTTGGGGAGACTTGGGGGGCATAAATGCTGAGAGTGTTTAACTAATGAGGCTGGAATATGATCTTAAACAAGGCAGAATCTATTGTTACAGGTGCACCCATCAGGCACTGTACCTGCTGTGTGCCTGCTTAAGACAGGCAGCTGGAGTCCAGCCATTTGATACTCCCATTAATGAAAATCTTTGCTGAAGACCGACCCATGCTGGGGGAACCAAAAGGTCAGAAAGCTCCGCGATAATGTGGAGAGGGGAATTCAAAGACCCACCCAGACACTGCTTCCCCTGCCAGGGCCTGGGCCACTCTTCTGTCCCCCCAGCCTTGAGCACCAGCTGGTGTGAGAAACGCCTGTGTCGTTAACAATGCTCCTCTGCCAGTCGCCCTGGGGCCAGGATGCTGTGGGTGAGAATCAGCCAGAATGAGCCCTGGTGGTGGGCGCTTGGCCTTGTGGTTGAGACCCTGCTTTGCATGGCCCTCCCCACCCACCCTCTTCACTCCCCCCAGCCCCTGTCCCATATCAGAGGACCTGGGTTTCAGTCCTAGCTGAAACCTAATTTTCGCTTCCTGCTAAGGCACACACTGGGAAGTGGCAGGTGATGGTCAAGTAGTTAGCTCCCTGCCACCCACGTGGACAACCCAGATGGGGTTTCCTGCTCCTTGCTTTGGCTTGGCACAGTCCTAGCTATTGTGAGCATTTAGGAAGTAAACCAGTAGGTGGGAGATCTCTGTCTGTCTCTCTTTCTCCCTTGTCCTGCCTTTCAGGTAAAGTAAATAAAGAAAGAAATAAATCAGATCTTCATAAAAGGGGTACAGAGAGACAGGTGTCACTGACTTTTGTAAAATGGGCCTTTGCTTTCCTTGGGAAGGAAGTAATCTTAGGGTCGTATGGTGGCACATCCCAGAATGCAGCCAAAGGCACAGTACTGTTGCCTCTCATAACGGGCAGCTGTGTGCTGTGGAGGGAGGGACTCAATGGTCTTACCTCAGCAATAGTGAACTGTAATTAGTCAACCATTGCTCCCAGAGACTGGCACCGCAGTCCCTGGACTCATCAGGCTAGGTTATGCCACAGTGGGTGTAACCCTGCCTTGGACAGGAGCTCTGTTGGGAGAGCCATAGACAGGAGGGCTATGAATCTTGCAGTTACTTAGGACCCAGGTGGACGGACCTACCATCATCCCAAGTGATGCCAGCCATAATGCAGAGGGGAAGGGTGATGGACCAGCCAAGCACCGTAGTGAAACAGCCTCACAGCAGGCTTGTGATGTCTCATCCACTCGAACTCATTATATGGGGGCCAGCAGTGTGGTATATCCGGTAAAGCTGCCGCCTGCAGTGCCGGCATCCCATATGGGCGCTGGTTTGAGTACCTGCTGCTCCTCTTGCAATCCAGCTCTCTGCCATATCCTGGGAGAGCAGTGGAAGATGGCCCAATCCTTGGGCCCTGCACCCGTGCAGGAGACCTGGAAGAAGCTTCTGGCTCCTGGCTTCGGATCAGCACAGCTCCGGCAGTTGCAGCCATCTGGGGAGTGAACCAGTGGATGAAAGTCCTCTCTCTCACTCTCTGCCTCTGCCTCTCTGTAAATCTGCTTTTCAAATAAAATAAGTAAATCTTTATAAAAAAGAGTACTCATCATACAGGATTCCAGGACCCATGCATGCAGCTCTCCTGTGTACTTAACGGTGGAGGACTGAAAATATTCAGGACTCAAAGCTGATTCCAGGCCACCACACTAGCTAACTGATCCCCGACTCTGTGAAGAAGTTCCTGTGGCTTTTCAACAACAGTGAGCCTGACATCCAAGTGATTCCGAAAGTATACATCAGTACCACCGGGAAGTACCTGCTGGGAGTTACAGCCCCACTTAGAGATGGCCTGAAGACCACCTAGAAGGACTGACCAGCAGAGGAGGGGATCTGCCTAACTCCTGAGCAGGGACCACCAGACGGGGTACATGGTTAGACTCTGTGAAAGAGTAAGGCCATAAGACCAGACAATGGTGGACACAAGGATGGGAAAACCCTCCAAATGGAGTCAGATCCTTAAAATACACAAGCCCCTAGGCTCCTACACCAGAAGAGCTGAGGAGCAGAACAGAGCGGCTTGTAGAAGACTGGATTTTGACACCATCTGGGAGATGGCTCCCTCCATGACACAGTCATTCCCCTGCAAGATGAAGTCCATATGCTATTTATTAGACTCCAAAGACACAGGGCTGGGAAGCAAAAGGACCACACTGCTGATGGTCCCCCAGCTCCGCCACTCATCCTGTGACAGTAAGCATTCCTGGGTTTTGACACATGCATAGTCACTTATCCACCACCATGGTCACAGAGCATTATACAGGGTTGTTCCACCATCCAGGTCGGCTGCATAGCCCCGTTGTCCTGCTGGGCATCGTATGTCCAGGAGACAGCATAGGGGAGCGCCTCTGGCCGGCCTGGGTCTGTGACGAAGCCTCTCGTCATGCACAGGCTGTAGTCACCAATAAAGCCGGCCATCCCCCACGGAAGCAAAGACCCGAGCCCCTCCAAAATATGCTTCTCTTTGAGACCAGTGGGAAGGGTTGGACAACAGAAAGAATTATGGGACAGGGCTCCATGTGCCTGGTGTGAGAATAGAGAGGAGACAAAGCAACTGAAACTCACGGCTGAGCCTCATCTCTTCTGCAGGAAGGGCAGTGTGCAGGCTGCTGGGCTCAGACCCAGGCTGCGTGCACCTGTCCCAGGCTGCGTGCACCTGTCCCAGGCTGAGCTCTGTGGAAGAGCCTGAGGCGAGGTCTGCGAAACCAGTGTCTCCAGGGCACTGCCTTCCCTCAGCTATGCCTACAGCTAGAGCTGCTAAGACCCAGAGACCCTCCCCACACTCTGCTCAACCAAGGCACCATCACTTAGCACAGTCACAGCCCTCTATGCTGCTGAGTGGTGTGCAAGGGTGTGGGGACTGGAAATGCTGAAATGAATGTGTCCCAAGTCGAGCAACTGGCCTCAAGTCTGCCACCCACAGGCCACCATTGAGCAGGGCCCAAATGCTGGGTGAAGAGCCTCATTTTATTAGCACCTGACAGCAGCACAGAAATGAGAGGGGATACTTAGGGCTCGGGTGGAAGTAAGACTGCTGTGGAGAGCTTGCGCTCTCTCTCTCTCTCTCTCTCTCTCTCTCTCTCTCTCTCTGTGTACGTGTGTTTTGGAGTGCGTGTGAGGCAGAGTACATGCATTTTGAGTGAGTGTATGAGTGTGTGTAAGTGTGTGTGTGAGTGTGAGAGTGTATGTGTGTGTGTGTGTGTAGGGCACTGAGGTTGGTTGGGAGGGAGGAGAAAGAGCAGGAGGAGCTGAGATGATGGTGCAGAAGCAACCGTTCAGAGCGGCCGCTGGAAAGAGGCAGGCGGCTTCAAGCTCAGAGAGAAAGAGGGAGAAAGAGAGAGGGAAAGAGACACAGTGAGATGGCCACAGAGAGAGAGAGAGGGAGAAAGAGGTAGAGAGACAGAGCCTGCCCGCCCCCACCCCCCATGGAGTTACAGAAGGAGGGAGGGAGGTCTTGCAGGGCGAGTCCGGAGAGGGCGTAACTGCAGTGAGTGGTGCTTCAACAGTGGCTTCTGCTCGTGGCTGTCCACCTTTATACCACATTTCCACAAGGCTTGCACACTGGCAGCAAAAATGTAAAACTCTCTATGTCTGCACATGCTTCCTTAGCAAAACTCGTACAGACAAAAATGACTCCCATTCATGTGCTGCTTGCTTCATTCATTCATCTGTCCCTCAGCCGGCTGGGCTCTCACTGTCCTCAAGCGACCCTGGAGAGCCCCGGCCTTCTGCAATCCAGGTCTTCATTGTCATGGGGTCTAGTCCAGAACTCCCAGCCCAAGCTGGAGAAGGCGACTCCTTGTCTCTTGCCTGGCTGGGTTGGGACTGGCCCAGACAGAGCCAGACAGCTGGGATAGGGCCAGTGCTGGGAGTGCAGGCCCCAGCCTCCTGCTTAGAGGATGGGGAGACAGTTGAGACCCTTGAGGGAGGACCAGAGCTTGACTTGTGCTGGACAAGTGCTGGTGTGCTTGCCTTGGGCAGTGAGGGGGGTGTTGCAGGGCCTGGTAAGGACACTGCATGGCCCAACTTGGCTTCGGCCTGCAAGTGTCCCTGGTGAGGCTCAGACTGCCCCCGGCATGCACCCTGAAGCTGCTCCAGCTGCAGGCAGGAGAGCTGGCCCTGTGAGTGAGGAGCCTGGAGCAGCCTGCTGCAAGGTCATGACATTGTGGTGTGAGCTGTCAGCCAGCTCTTGAGTGGCACCTGCTCAGGGTGAGAAGCAGACGGCTGGTCCAGGTCAATTGGAGATTGATTTACTCGACATGTCCATGTTATATGTCTATTGGATTTCCACAGATGGCTGATCTGCAGTAGATACCACACCAGACAGAAGGAGAGGGCCGAGGTGGGCCGTCTGACATCCACCCGCCGACCCCTGCAGCCAGACAGTTTAACCCTCGCATACAGGTGCAGTTCTGCCAGGCTTGGGACCACGGCCAGCACCAGGCAGAGGTTCAGAAAGGCCTCTGGGTTCTGTGACTTGCTGTCTCAGAGTCCATCAGCTGGCTGTGGTCCATCTCAAGTGTCCTGAATTACAGAGTCAAGGTGTTTGGGCTTTTCTAGGATCAACCTTCTCCCTTGATCTGCACTTGGCCTCATGGAAACCAGGAGCATCCTCTATGATACCACATCATCTCTGGGCTTCAGTGCCCAGTACTTCGCCAGAGTTCCTTGCTTCTGGCTTGAACCTCTGCACCCCAAGCTCATGATAAACATCTTGCCCCCCACTGTATGCTGGGATGCTGTCCATGGACATTGCCTTCCCTGCTCTTGTGGTCTCAGTTCCCGGCCCTGTGTGGGTGCATTTAGCACTGCCTCCTCCACCTCATTCCACTCTCCCACCTGCTGGGAGAAATTGG